GAGAGCTTGCCTGGGGATATATATATCATTTACTGGGCTGCCTTAACTACTTTCAGATAATTTGCCCATTGAACACATTACTCTTAAAATAATGTATGAATCAGTAATGTATGTACCCTTTTTTTCTCCCTTAGCCTTCCCCCTCCCTATCTTTTTTTTGTTTGTTTTCTTTCTTCCCATTTTTTTGGCTTCTGTAATTCTGAATAAGAATGCGTGTCAGGTTGTATATATGTCCACTAAAGGCACCCAGACGACTTCATCTCAATGGCCCAGTAGCTTAACCCTGCAATGTAAAACATTTTCTAGAAACTGCAATGTTTACAATGCAGGGTTAAACAGCTTTAGAGGCACTTCTTCTACAACGTTAGTTTCACTTGGTCACCAACGTCTATGAGAATGTTGAACGTCTTTTAAAGTAACTGATAAAGCATTTGATTGGACACATGGAAACACTGAGACGTGCATCTCACCCTCAATGTTCCTCTTGGAGGAGCAATGGATAGGACCGCAATTCGGTCCACAAGAATTTATTGACGGTCCGCGAAAGCTTTCACCTAACTATACCATCGGGTGAAAGCTTTCACAGACCGGCAATAAATTGCCGCAAAATATTTCCCTGGTGCTATGATGTCATGATCATATAGCACGGGGAACCGTGCCTCCCTCTCCCCTGCCGGCTCTACAGGACTGGAGGGGAGATCTCCCTCACTGGCCCGCTCGCAGTGTAATGCTGGCAGCCGGCATGGGAGGGAGAGAGGACCCGAGGGAGCTCTAACCTGCAGCTCTGCGGGGTTCTCCTCTCACGAGCTCGGAGCGTTGCCGCGGTTACCACGGCAACGTTCTGAATCTCGGAAGCTGCTAGAGTTCACTCTCACCACTGGGACCATCAGGGTTATACCACCGAATCACCAGGGATTGTCCCCCCTCCCAGGCAAAGGTAAGCAGGGAGGGGGGATTTCAAAATTACGATTATTTTTAATTTAAAAAAAGTATATATCTTTATTAATCTACCCTCCAACCCCACAGACCCACAATCATTCTCCCTTATATATACACACACTGCTTCCCATACACACACACACTGCCCCCCATACACACACACACTGCCCCCATACACACACACACAACAACCCTCACACACTGCATCCCTCATACATAACATTGGTTTTTATTGCGGGCTGACGCCGGTCAGCAAGATATTTCTCCTATTTTCGCCGGCCGTGGGTGCTAAAAGGTTGCAGAACATTCCTCTAGAATTCAAATAATCATAATAGGAATTTTGTATTCTTTCCCTTGAGATTAATATAAAACAAACCTGAGTGCAAAGTAGTTCATAATTTATATTACCTCAGGATTTAGGTGGATATTTTAATATATATTCATGAATTAAATATTTAAATATGTAAATTTTGAAAGCACACTTAATAAAATCATTTTTTACATTTGGAGAAAAACATGATTTTCTGCCTCTTTTGTACATATCCCCAACCCTTGTGCATTCCCTGTCTTAATACGCAATATTGAAGCTACAAAAGGACAAAAGATTAGATAACTGCCAGTAATGTGTCATTGCTGTTTCCATGGAGACAAATAGCATAATGAATACACATTTACAAAGTGTGTACCAAGCTCTATATTATTTACAACTCCGAAATAACATGTGAGCGTATCCCATTCCAAGCACACATTAAGGGGCACAATAAGGCATAATTATAGGGACAGCGAACATTGTTTAAAATAATATACATGTGAACAGCCATTTATGTACTGGAAGAAAAGCATGAAATTTAGATGTTTACTACCTCAATGGGAATAGTTTTCAGGAAAAGCTATTTTGACCATATATTTTCCTCTAGTTTATTTTAACAGTAATAATGTCAGAATCTATTACTTCCATTATTCCTTTTAGAATATTATGGACTTTTTTTTCCATGAATTTGAATTTATACTATTTTAGAAGATATGGCTCTTGAATTTTAAACCCATTTATTAAATTGGGGAAGCAAAGGAAGATTTATTTTACTTTGCATTAAGTCTGCATTGTAAAAAAAATTAGTGGAAAGGATTATCTGTTATATAGAAATATAACGGGGAGCGGATCAATGAATTATACAATTTAATGGTAACAATGGCAAGATTAGAGAGAATATGAAATGGCTTCCAAGGCAACATGCACCTGCATGAGCAAACATTTAGGAATATTGACTTTGTTCCTGCTTTATTTAGAAGTAATTTGAATAAATCCTGAGGATATTCATTAATTTTACTGCACACTGCATTTTGCAAAATGTATCTGAACCTGACTTGTTTGGAAATTGAACCTCAGAATGCCAAGGAAACTAGCAGAACTATTGTAAAAATTTAAATTAAAGGGACACTATAGTCACCGAAAGAACTTTGGCTTGATAAAGCAGTTTTTGTATATAGATCACTCCTCTGAAGTCTCACTGCTCAATTCTCTGCTATTTAGGAGAAACATTACTTTTGTTACTGTTTATGCAGCCCTAGCCACACTTCACTTGGCTGTGACTGACACAGCCTACATGAAAACAAATGGTTTCATTTTCAATCAGATGTAACTTACTCTAAAAGTTCACACACTCACTCACAGACACACACTGACAGACACAGACAATCACTTAGACACACAGGCTCCTTCACAGACCCACACTGACAGACATACACACACACTCACAGACAGACACACACACAATCCCTCAGGCACACAGGCACCCTCACAGACACACACTGACAGACACACACACACAATCACTCAGACACAAACAAACATTCACTGACAGACACACACTCAGAGACACACACAGTCACTCAGACACATGGGCGCCCTCACAGACACACACTGACAGACATACACACACAATCACTCAGACACAAACAAACATTCCCTGACAGACACACACTCACAGACACACACAGTCACTCAGACACAAAGGTTCCAACACAGACACACACGGACAGATATACACAAACACACTCACAGACACAAACACTCACTCACAGACACACACAATCACTCACACAATGACAGACATACACTCACTCACAGACACACACTGACAGACATACACACTAACAGCCAGACACACACACACAATCATTCCCTCCCCCCCCACAACACTCACAGATTATTTTTTAATTTTAACTTAAATCCACCCAGCCTCCCTACCTTTGGGAGAGCTTGGTGGATTTTTTACCTGGAGTCCAGTGAGGCTGCTGGCCCGGCTGTTGTGGAAGGCAGGCCTGCAGGCAGTCGGGCGGCTAGTTGAGGTCCAAGCGCGCCGCAGAGTGATGCCGGAAATATGAGCGCTCCCTCGCCGCCCGCTGAAACTCAACTAGCCGTCTGCCACCAGGCTAACAAGGTATTTGCCTGGGCATTTGGGGGCGGCATTTTCTGCTGGCCCCTGGAAATTGACACCCAAGGCAAATTTCTTGTTTGCCTCGTGGCAAATACAGCACTAATAGCGAGATATATATATATACGCACACACAAATATATCCGTTCTGTAGGATATTAGACATGCATCCCAGAAGAATGTGGAATGTATTTGCTCCCAAGGCAGCATTAATCACAAGGTTTTTAACTAAACATCAAAGTGAGCGAATGAAAACACGAATGCCAAAATAACTGATCTGGAAACATTCTCCAAAACTACACTCACAATTTACCTATTTTAGCGTAAAGTTTGTGATTCATAGTTACACTTACTGAATAACTCTGAGTGGGACCAAAATGCAATTACCCTAAATTATTGACTTCCAGTGTTTATTACCATCTAATTATGAATTGAAGAGTGAATTTAAAACTCCAGGATAAAATAGACTAGCTCTGATACCAATACTTGAATTGAACACACTGCGGGATAGCACTTTTCAACAAAAATATATAGTGTTAGATAGACAAAGTTGTATCTCTAACACTATATTGTCCCTCTGCCTCCTCCCCATGACAATTAATAGGTTAAAAACCTTACTCCAGCCCCGAAGTCAGTCTCTGCCTAATGCGACATCAGCGCCGAGAGGGAACCTAATGCGCCTATCCTCAATGTTTTACATTGCAGGATAAGATTGCATTGAGATGAAGTGATCTGGACGCCTATGGGGTCCCTTTTAAATAAAATTAAATTGCTTTTCCCCAGATGTTTCCATAAACTAGTGATAACTACAGTGATTTTAAATAAATATGTTGGCACCATTAACCCTTTGTTTAGTGCACATACAGTGAATTATAAAACAGTGTTATTTACTAAAGGGATAATTACTGGGAATTCAAACTGATTCTCTTTAGTAAACAACCCTGTTTATTCATATTATGAAAGAGAAATTAAATATGTATTCTAAATGTATTGTGGGTGATGTTCAGCATTTAGTAAAATCATATTTTTTCATGCACAGATCACATATATTTCATAATTTATTTATTTTTTTTTACAGAATGCCAGTACATTTCCTATTGACAGCTCTTCATTCCTCCACATTACTTTCTAAAGGGCTGGATATACTTTATCTGTTTGAACTTTATTTACTTATTACAGGCACATGCCACCAGTTACAAAAAAAATAAAACTGCCTGCTCCCTTTTCTTTATATTATTATGGCTATTATTTTGTATGCAGTAGGAAAGGCGGTCCCCTTTCTGCATTCCATAGCAAGGAAGGGAAACAATGCAGTGTAAACAGACCCCTTGTTCTCCTTCCCTCCCTGACTGGCTGACTGGCACAAAATGCCGCCCGGGCTCTTTTATTACAGGGGAGGCGGCGCGCGGCCGCTCAGAATGGGCGGGAAAAAAAAAAAAGAAACCAAATAGATGGAGCGAAACTAAAGGCAGAGAGAGTGTGAGCGAAAGGTGGCTCGCGCCAGGCGCGCGCGCGGGAACTGCGGGGAAAAACGTTCCTGCTCTCCGTAACCCCGCCCACCTGGCTAGCGCGCGAGCCCCTCGGTATTCATAAAACACACAGCAGGCGGTGAACATCCGCAGTCAGCACACCTGACAGGCAGGGTGCAGGAGGCACGGGCTGGGCAGCTGTGAGCAATGGGCTGCTCTAAGCTGGCTGTGCTTAGTGTAACTTACCTCAGAAATTTAATAAAAACATTCACAATACACTGCCCCCACCCTCATATTGCGACTGACTCTGATAAATATACCCCATTCCTCACACAAATTACATTAAAAAAAAAACACTCTTATAAAACACTGTACCCCCCACTCCATACTGCAACTGATTATAAAAATACAAATTCTCACACAAATTAAATAATAAAAATCACTCACAAAACACTTTGCCCTCTTCAAAAAAAAAAAACAAACCCTGATACTAATAAATATACCCGACCCCCATATTGCAACTGACTCTGATAAATATACCCCATTCCTCACACAAATTACATTAAAAAAACACACACACAACTGCAACTGACATTAATAAATATACCCCATTCCTCACAGAGATTAAATAAAAAGGCAGATGTTTTATAAGGGGTTTGTTTATTTTTTATTTGAGATGCTGTTTATGGTAATATTGAAACATCCTTTGTTTCCTCTGATAAAAAAACAAACAGAAATTGTAAATATTAAGGAAAGAAAAACAAATCAATGAAGCAGTTTAAATGTGATAATTGTGCAGTTATATGTGTGCCAGTTCAGTTTTACAACACTAATTTTCCAGTATTATGGAGGTTATCTATAACCTGGACTGCATATAGTCCCTCCATGTTTTTCTGGAAATTTATAATTTTTTTTGTGTTGGGCAGTCCATGAAAAGGGCGGCCCTGCACTATGTTGGCAATAAGAAATACTGAGGGGTTAAACTGATTCCACCAGGCAGAATTTAACTATAATAGAATGCAGCACAGGAGATTTCACATACTGCTCAGAAATGTGCTTAAGGGATTTTTAGTTTTTTCAAAACTCTAAATTTTACTCGATTAAACTTCAAGTGCAAAATTAAGGCTAAAATAGTAAACGCCTATTTTACAAATCAGCAATTTTCGACTAAACTGTGCCATTCGGCTTTTAATGAATTAAAATTCAGAGTTTAGTGCATTAACATGGTGTGGCTAGCATTTAGATATTCGGATGTTTCAGGACTACACCTCCCTTGTTGGTTTGACAGCTGTAAGAATGGCAAAGCATGATGGGATTTGTAGTTGAAAAGCAGGAGAAGATCTACTTCCTTACCATGACGGTTGCCCTGAGGCCTGCCATGTTTGTTAGGTCCAATGATTGGGAGGGGGAGGAAGTGCGTTGGCATGCCCTACGTAAAACGGGTGTCATCCCAAGCTAAGAAAGGCTAAAATTTCCTGTTTTTCATTCCAAGTGTATTTAAATATAAATTATGCTGTACTTTATCCCAGTTCTTCTGTCTCAATCAATTGATAGACCCAGTCTATTAGCTGATCAGGAGGATTGTTACAAATTTAGTTATCCACATAGTCTTACCCAGTGCGCAAAAATTTAAATATCTTTCTATTGGGCTGGTCACCTATAAATTTAATAGTCTTACAAATTAGCCCTAGCCATCTTTGGTTTCATTTATTATATATATATATATATATATAAATATATATATATATATATAACATACAAAATACACAATCCAGCGCACTCGCTTATTCACTAAACAATAATTTCAAATCTTACAGATTGTAATAGTTTTATTTAAAAACACCTCACCTAGGAAAAAAATAATCTTTGAGTTCAGCTCATGAAAAATGGGGGAAAAAACAAAAGTGTTGCATTTATAATTTTGTTCAGTATATATATATATATTTCTAGTTAGGATGGACCATTGATGATCATTTCCCTCTGCTGATACAATGATACATTCAGGAGAGTTCTCTGGGATACATTTGTGTAAACACTGGAATAGTTTTAAAGTTTCAATACTGCTTCTCTATTTAATTCCCAAAAGTCACACAGTGGGAATTGCTTAGACTTGCACTAAGACCAAGTAGATGGTATGCATGGTTTAACATTAAACCAGATCAATTCTAAAGTAATCCAATCCAAGACATTAAAGTTTTAGATGTGGAACATTCATGTTGTAAACTTTTTTTTATTTTTTTGTGATACGTTAAAATTGTACTAGAGCCTTATAGCGAATGCAGTTAATATTGACAGAGGTTAACTGATAGCTCTCATCTCCACTGGTCAGCGAATATCACACAAAAGGGCTAATTACAGAGGAGCATTAATTATTAGTAGCTTCATTTTGTGCTCACTGGGAGAAACCTTTCTTACAAAGCACAGAGATAATCTAGGAGCCTGTGACAGAGCAGCTGGCCTGGACATGGGCTGACGCTCCACTTGACAAGTTGTTGGATTAGAAAAAATATCAAAAGACATCAAGACTTAGATTAGGGATAAATGAACCCCTAGTAGTCTGCAGCAGGAGAGAACAGATGAGTAACAATGGGAACGGAGGAACGTTGGGGGAGGATCGGAGGTGACAGGGCCATGGGAAAAGTGTGGCAGTAATCAGAATGACTGCAGGTTGCTGTGTTTCATGAATAGGACAGGAAATGGGATTTGGAGAGACAGATGTGATGAATATATTATAGAATGTAAACATAGCAATCACTTACCTTCCAATAAAGCTGCTGTGATCTTTTACTTATATTTGTTTCTGCCTTCTCAAAAGCTTTTACTCACAAAAGATGTAAAATTGTTTAAAATGCAACTTCAACATCAATATTACTATTATATAATTAAAGAACAAATGTTTCAGAGCTAAATAAGATTTGCGCATTCTATTTTGGTAGAATGCTATTTGCCCAATTATTGAGTCTGTATGTTTAACGTTGCTTGTGTTCCTGCTCCGCGACATAGTTAGCGTTGTTTAACCACATGACCACGCTTTGCAACTGGTTTCTGTCTAGCTCGCAACCTCCATCTCCTCACAGCCGGGTTCTCAGACAGAAACCTTTGTATTTGACTTGGGCCGACTTGGCTTCCCTCTCTCTTTGCCCCCTCACTCTCTGACAGATTCCCTGGCATTAAACCGTGGCTTCTCCTCTCTGATTACTGGACCTCTACCTCCTTGTATAAGGCTGCCCACACGGAAACAGTAGCTTTGGACATGGTTTCCATCTTGCATCGCCCTTCAAAATCATCAGTCTATGTGTATCATGGGCCCATGATTCTTTCTCTGTTGCTACATATTGCCAGGAAAAAAATCATGGTAAACGTTGGTTTATTGTATAAGAATTGCTTAATCCATATTGGCTTCTGCTGCAGTCGAACTAAAGCATGACATAAAGCGTAAAATAAGTAACAAAATAGTGATTGACAACAAACTATGTTAACACATTTTTATTTAGTAGAGAAACAAATTAGCTTTCGATTTGCAGAGCCGGTAAACTTCGGAAATTAAATGGTCATCTTGGACCTGCAGGCTGATCTTCAGGGCTAGAAGGAGTGAGTAAGGAGACTTCGTAATAGATTGAAAATGATCCCAGAATGGCCTAAAAGTAGTTCACTACATCAGACCATGTCTCTATTCTTGACCAGTTTGAAGGTCGCAGTGGATACACATCTGCAAAAACTCCAAATTTGTAGAACAGTATTTTCTGATGCAAGTGGTATGAAGGAGCAAAACCTCTGATTTTCAGATATAAAAAGTAATTGATCTCAGACGATGAGAGTTAAGGGTTTTTTTTGCAGCAAATATGGGATTAACTACAAGAAGTTTGAAAAGACAAAATAATATTTCTTTACTGCAATCCACTTCAATATGACGTTTTTGGTTGGAACAAGGCTGTGTACAAAAGCGAAATACTTATTGCAGTGGTACAAAAAGGCTATTATTTAAATACACGTACAGATTTGGGAAAGGGCACAGGTAGCCAACTACTCTGTATTTTGGGTGATGAATGCTGTAGCCATCGTTGCTACACGAGTAGTGGGAATTTGCGCGCAGTGCTAATTTGTTTAATTTTGGTTTATTTTAAACATTATCCTGATTATAAATATGTATATGATTGTGACAATGATGTACTAATGTACATTACATGGTTCTCATCTTAGTTTATTGGGTTGCATGCCACACTATTTTGCATCAGGATATCCAATGCACATTACAGGGCGATTTCTGCCTAGAACAAATTATATTGAAAAATGTGTATCTGTTACTCAAATGCAGTTAAATTTTTATACTTTTTAATGTGCGTTTTATGTATGTATGTGTACATCTATCTATCTATCTTTCTATATGTAGCTACTTAAAACTTTCAGAATTTAACAATCTCTGTGGGGGACAATGACAAAATGGACACAAACTCACAAATTTCACTCATGTGTGAATTTTATGAAATGTTCTTGGAGATCTGACAATTTACGTATCCAATTTTCACACCCACAGCAATAATGGCGCAAAATAAAATTTGGTGATTGGTACAGAAATAATAATTGGTGTGGCTGGATAGATGTCCATACACATGTGCATCTCTTGTATAAATGTAAAATGTGTCTGCTTTGTTCTTCAGTTTTAGAAGGTAAAAAAATAATTATTATCATGGATAAAATGATCAGCTTATCCATGGGAGAATATATTGCGATCAGCACAGGGGGTGACGGCCAATAAGTAGAGAAACATTGTTTGACAGATTGGTTTTTGGAACTCAATAGTATAAATCCTAGAATTCATTTAAGGAATATTTACCTTGTATGTTGCTTTTTTAATATTGTCTTTTCAGTTTTTTTCTGTGAATGTTTTTTGAGGAATGCAGTTACATTTTTGGGCTACGTTTGCATTATATAATTAGTGCTACAGAACACTCACATATTGTTCTCTTAACAGAAATTTAAAAAAAGGCCATTAAGTCCCCATTGGATGTTGCATAACACACATTTCAAACCCTGTGAATCATGTTCTATGTTTGACATAATAAAGAAACCAATTCAGCCTATGGAACAGACTCTACACAATTAAAACTTGGTCAAGTATCTTGATGACATGAAGAATGTAGCTAAAATAACATTTTTGTTTTTTGTGTTTTTTAATGTTACTCACTCATCCCCTGCATTCCGCACAAATGGCAAGCTGTGTTGGCTAGTTTCATTCACCAAACACACTTGATACAAAATGATTTATATAGGTTGTCAATTCTTCAAACACTGGGATTATATGTGTATTTGCAATTTGTGCAATCGCTTGTTGACTACACCCAATGCAGTGGGAGGGAAAATTGAGCAAGATTCTGAAATCTCGAGTAACAATGATAAATTTAATGCAGTGTAATAGTTTTCACGCAGCCTGTTTTATTTGACGAAGTATGTAAGTTCCCGATAGAGGGTTGTTCGAGCCACTAACAATAAGTTGTATGTACTTGTTCATGCTGATAGTGACTGATATTGCATTTCTTTCTTTTAAATTTTTTTTTTTCAAACAGCAATCTGTAAAACTCACTGTTCGCATGTAAAGCCAGCATTGTAATCTGTACAAGTTCAGGCAGGTAGGTGCAGAGACTTTGCTCTTTGTCAGTTAGTATCTTGGCAGCTCACTGCAGAGAGAGTTCTGTTCAATTGCTTTACCATTCAGAGAACCTTCAGAGTCTTTCAATGACTGCAGATGATTGTCTCAACTAATCTACTGTATAACAGGTTGGAATGGCCTGGCCACTTTTTGCAGAGCACAATAGATGTTCTTTTTGCTATAGATTCAAAATATCATATCAATCCTTGAGTGCAGGATGTGTCTATCTGCCCTGTTCAGGGTACTTGACAAATGCATCCACATGTCACTTATTGTCACTCATCACAGGTGTGGGACGAAGGCTGGAGAGATGATTTGGGGGTAGCTCGCATTTGATTGGATAACTGGATATGATTTGTTGTTGCATAGGCTTTTGACATTGAGTACCTGAGACAAATTGTAGAAAGAACTACATAGAAAATACAAAAAAAACATATTTATTACTGAGTTTTGTTACGGAGGTTTATAAAGACTAAAAACGTATCTGTTCGTGGAAACGTGGAATTATTGGGGTGGGAAGGGGAGGCATTCAAAAGCAGTGTCTGGTGTGAACTTGGATTTTTTTATTGGTACTGAATTTGGTAACACTTTATACACACACCTGTTTATTATGTTAGGTTGTTTGAGTGTTTATCAGAATGTGTTGACAAGGAGTCTGTGAGGATTACATGGCTGTGAGAGTCATCATGAGGATATTCTGTATCTCATGAGTGGAATAACAATGGGAGATGTCCCTCAAAGGATAGCTTTCTGGGGAGGAATTATATTTTTTCCACTGTGCTTGTGGACAGTGTAAGAAGTATAGATGAATAATTTGCCAGTAGGAGTTAGATTTAGATGCGTGTTATTTAGTATTTGAATAATTAAATAAACTTAGTGCTGTCTGCTTTCTAAAGAAAAATTAAAACAATTAAATGTTCATCAGTTGTGTTTTTAATGGTATTTTTTTTTCATTCAAGAAATTCTTTTATTCACTCCAGTTTGCATACATTTGCAGTTGGAAATGCGAACATGTTACAGTATAGGCTGGCATACAATAGTATTGCAGTATTACAATGCGTTAAGGTTAATCGTGATTGCAATAATGTGGTTGCAGAACTTAAAAATAACGCATCAATAGAAGTAAACCAAGAAGATCGCATCAATTTGCGTACTTTTGCAGTTAGGAATGTGAACGTATTGCAGTGAATTATGGCATACGATAACATTGCAAAATGTTATTGCATGAAAGTTGAACGCAATTGCATAGGTGTGCTTAGCGAACGTAAAAATAACAGAACCTCATTTTGGTTGTGCGTAACTAAACCTGAAAAAGTTAAATATTCAGAACTATCAGTAGTAACATCAGGTACATGCATTAATACTCTTTTAAATGCACGAAAATTATATGAGTGCATACATTATAAACAAAACAAATAACGGTATTGAATTGTGTTGGATTTGGTGTGTAGGAAATTCCATGTTTCCAACAGTGCATAGGCCCACCTTGTGTCCAAATTATATAAGCTTGGGAAGAAAATCCTAATACGAGAGCTCGATGCAGCGTAATAAGTCATGCATATAAGACTCAAAGTTAACATTGGAAGCGTGTACCATCACATGGCGAATCGCTTGTGAGTATGCCTTATTTACATAACGCTAACCATGTTACTAAGTTAAAGCGCCTAGACTAAAACCAGTCCAAAAATAGGAAAACAAAAACCTACGTGTATATGGGCTAGATATACTAGTAAAAAGGCCCATTAAGTGAAGACACCTTCTCTAGCATCAGTAGGGCTATACCTCATACCTCTAAGAGTCTTGAACCAAGCACGTGCGGCAAGGTAAGAAAAAGGCCCCCACAGTCTAGTACAGTCGGGCTCACAGCAACGTAAACTTTCTCCAGGACCCCACTAAACCTAGAGGCAGAGGCCCCAGCTATCGGACGTGGAGCAGCCAAGTCCAGGTATCTCAGCGACTTGTCTGCAATCCCCTTTGGGGATCTGGGCAACATCAGAGCAACCTCCATGTATGTATGCTTAGAACTCCCCCATCTGTGCTCAGTTTACAGTCAGTTAGGGACTGCGGCCGCCCAGCAGCCACTGTGGATGATAACAGTAGATATTTGTAGTGAGGGTTTCCCAGTGTGAAGGCGAAGAGCCCACCTTGAGCTGATGGCCAGGAGGCGGAGGTAAGCAGGTTCGTGAGTCCGCAGAAGGGAATGTGTCTACCACGCATGTGGAACTCATATCAGGTAACAAGCAACCCTGGGCCGGCATAACCGCCCCGTCCCTGGCCACAGGGGGGGAGCGGGGCCCCCATAGCCATTCTCACAATTCTTGAGCTGATCAGTCTCTGAGTTCAGTGGGCTGTAACATTGTAGCGTTACTCACCTTATCCAGGGGCCGGCCGCGGTCCTCTCTTCGAGCCGCGCGCGGTCCTGCTGCTGCACGAGCCGCGTGCGGCTCATCCGACGGCCTCAACAGGAAGGCGGGCAGTGGCCGCGAGAAGCGGTCACGTGTCCCGCCTGAATCTAAGAGCGCGCCGCGAGTCTCGGGCGCGCTCTTAAAGAGACAGTGGGAGCCTAAATTGTTAAAAGGCTCCCATTGGCCCCTGTCATGCCACACTCCCCATACACTTACCTTTTGGGGGTGTGGATATGACAGGAGCCAATCACATTAGTTTAGAAGCTATATATACTTACCTCTCCCTTTACTCCCTGCCTTATCGTGGTTTCTGTATCAGTTCCCTTTAGCGCTTGTTGTGTTCACTTGTGTTTCTCCGTTTTGACTTTGGCTTTGTTTCTGACTACGTTTTCTCTTTATCCTTATCTGTTCTGGTTGTCGGCTTGCTGTTTACTGTGTACCAGACCCCGGCTTGTCTTAGTTTAGGCTGTCTCTCTGTGTCCTTGACTTCGGATTGTTCCTGACTCTGCCTCCTCTCATATACGTCGAGTCCGGCCATTCTAAGGTCCGGTAGACGTATCTCTCCTCTGTGTTGTCTTCTGTTTAGCCGAATCCTGCGTGTTGGGGTATATTCTCGTTGCAAACATCCCTTCTATGTGCAGGCTTAGTGTAGGCAGTGTGTGAGCAGCTCAGTGACATAGGCCGCAGCATGTCAGGCTCACAGGTCGGAGAAGGCCATCGCCTGATTGCTGGGGCATTCCCCTCCATTAAGTTATGCAACTTGAAGGCAGGTTAGTGGTTGGGTTGTAGTTTTTCAGCCTAATTTCAGACTCGGGACGGAGCTGTGTAAGATGTCTGCTGGTCAGCTCGATGGCCAGGCCACTTTAATGGTATTTTAAGCAAAATATGTATCACATTATTTTCCTTACTGACAGTTCAAATTAAATGTAACAGATATTTTATTTTACATTCCTCTAATATTTTAGTACAAACAAATTTAGACATGTAAACAAACATCTTGCTTGAATTAGAACAACGTGAAGACACGCTTCACTCATGTCTTATAAATAACCATTTTTTATAAACTCATCAGACTCTGCCTGAGTTAATTGTCAGTCAGCACAGCTAGCCACACATTTCATTATTTTACATATGGAGACACAGTCCTAGTGGGTTTTTCAGGAATCCTTGACATGGTATTCATTGAATAAGGTACATAAATAATACATTAAGTAGAAGCAAGATATTGTGTTGGGACTAAAACAAAATAAAAAAATCTGTCACTCTGCTGGAATTAGCACAGGAACCCAGCCAATCCTATGCCAAAGGATGAAGTGAATAAATATAACTGGCAAAATAAATGAAAAAAAAACAAATCATGGGGTCAATAAAAAAGACGCAAAGTCAAATGATAATAAGGTTACACAAAAAGGGAAAAAGTCAAATAAGTTCTAAAGCTATTGAGAGGTCACCTTTCTCCTTTAAAGGGATTGATAAGTGGTAACTTTGCAGAGTATATCAAGTACAATTACTCATAGATGGTGAATAGTGTTATACATCAATAAAGATTGTCTGTGTGTGAAACAGAACGGTGCTGGTAGCAAGTTATTTCGTCTGTTGTACGCGCTCTTCCACTTAGCTTGATAAAATTGGTCTTTAACAGGTATATATTGAATTAAAAAAATATCTACGGGAATAAAAACATTATGTTGTTTAACGAAGGAGAATCATCTGGATGGATTTCCTAATAACTAGTATTGTGATTCTAAGAGCAATATTCTTCAGGGCTTTAAACCCAGAATCTAAGGCTTCCCGTTCTAACTTCGGGCTCAAGTGGTTGTGGGGTAACAAAGCTGAATGGCGCTTGACTTAACAGTTGAACCCCTGAATGTATGCCAGCGACAGGGACTTCTTCACACCATAGTAACCTATTTATAATAAAGTTGTTATGGTGCCCGGAGTGTTAATTGGACAACTCAATGCACTGAACTTTAAAATGCATTTCTCTTTCTTTCATTTTATTATTTAAATTGTTACTTATGGTTTTTGTACATCAAAACTGCTCTTCATCTTATAACCACAATATTGTTTCCCTATTGTCTTGTGTATTCTGTTTAAAATGAATCACGATTTGTATGAATTATAATTGGTAAGAAATTTGTTGCAGTTCCACAACTCCAAAATGCTATATGAACGATTCACAAAACAATCGGGAGGACCGGATGAGCCTTTTCGTTTTTCTGAGTTCTGTCAATGGAGCCACAAAGAGGGGGAAGGAATGGAGAAAAAGCTGGGTTTTTATTTATTTATTTATTTTTTATTTTTTATGCAGTACACTAATAGATGGAATTTACAGGTTCATCTGAATCATTTTTCTTGAAATTACTAGAACCAGAATGTCAAATAGGCAAAATATGGTCAACCAAGTAAAACAATAAATACATTTAGACGAATCAATGTAGACAAACCAAATTTTTCTTCCACGCACAACTCTATATCCATAGTTGCCAACTAGCAAACTTTTTTGTTTTTGAACCAAACCCTTAAATTAATATTTTTAGGGGAAAAAAGGAATTAACAGTTGACATTAACCTTATGTAATATTTCCTCCTCATTAAGAATTGGAGGCAAATATTGTCAAATATGTCTATAGAAGCCCTCCTATAAATCAGATTACTAAACACCCTTCTGAATAACCAATATGCAGGGCCCTTTTCTTATTCTTCTCAAATAAAAGCAATTCCTTATTCCTTTTATATTCTTAAAAACAGGGCTCGAGTCCTGCAGGAACCTGTGGGAACGGCGTTCCTGCACTTTTTTTACAGCAGGAACGCTGTTCCTGCAGGAACTCAGGGGGCGGCAAAAAGTGCCGCCCCCAAATGCCCCCGTGTTTCCCCTGTCATGGGGGGGCCCAAGAGGTGGCCTGATGGACCCCCCCGGCGGGCGCCTGTCTCCATATCAGACGCGACAAGGGAGCTGTGTTCTATCTGCTCCCTCTCGCCGCGCGCCGTTTGCTGATCCTGGGAGCCAGAATATGAAGTCATATTCCGTCTCCCAGCATCAGTAGGCAGCCCGCGCGGGGAGAGGGAGCAGAGAGAACACAGCTCCTTCGCCGCGTCTGATATGGAGACAGGCGCCCGCCCCACGGGACCCCAGGGATAGGTCCACGCAAGCTCTCTAATTAGGGAGTCTGGGTGAAATTTTTTTTTATTTATATATATTTTTTTTAGAGTGTTTGTGTCTGTGAGTGTGAGTGTGTGTCTGAGTATGTTTGTGTCTGAGTATGTTTGTGTCTGTGAGTGTATGTGTGTGTGTCTGTGTGTGTGTACGTGTGTCTGAGTGTATATGTGAGTGTATGTTTGTGTGTCTGTGAATGTATGTGTGTGTCTGTGAGTATGTGTGTCTGTGTGTTTATCTGTGTTTCTGAGTATGTGTGTCAGTGTGTGTGTGCACGTGTATATATATATATATATATATATGTGTGTGTATGAGGGTATATATTTTTTTTGGTGGGGGGAATCTTGGGTGAGTTCCCACACTTTATTCCCCAGGACTTGACCCCTGCTTAAAAATAAATGTAATTTCTTCCCCAATATCCAAGCCTGATCTAGAACCTGATATTTGGTTAATGCGTAACTACTGTGAATATTAAAAGAAAAAAAACAATGTAGTTAGTTATGGTTAGTGTTGATACACTACATTTACCATGGCCAGGCAAAATGTTGATCTCCAGGCCTTGTAAAAACACAAATGCCATCATAATTTGCCAGCATGTAAAATGCAGTTCTGGAACATCTGAGGATTTGCATTTTGCTCACCGAATTTGCTTCAATACATCTGAAATTTATGGATTACCTAAGGAAATCAAATTATGTAATAAAGGAAATTTGCTTGTAGTTACGTGAGTGCCTCATTATGGAATCCACCAATTACATAATGTATCATAGACTTTCCTCCTACAGTGTTTAATTTGATACGTGTGAAAGATCGGATACCTGTGCTTCGGGTTATTTTTCTTAATGGCTGCTTTCATAGATGTCAGTGAAATAATAGCACAAGGCACTATTCACCAGATGTCATAGTGACATTTGAATAAGTGTGTCTATGTTTATTTTACCTCCTACAGTGGAGGAAGAAATTACGAGGACCTTTGGACTAGTAAAAATATGTCTTTAAAAACCTGTGTGTGCAATAAACCTTTTAGTGCTAAAGTTAAAGTTTGCTTGGTACATCCCTCTGGCATTTCTGCTAGACACAAACGTCTTATTTAGCAGGCACCTGTTTTGTCCACATAAATGATCAATAATTAGTTAGAAGTGGCAACAGAAAGCAGAAACTGGGATTAATTTACCAAAAATATTGATATGACAGACGTGTTATGAATCTAGTAGCAAATTTAAAATCCTGCCGGAAACATGGTCAGTATTGCAATTTTTACCAGTCACCACAATTCAGTCAAGTGAAAATTATATATTAATAGTAATAGATAGGTTTTGTTTTTATGACTCCATAGGATTTAATTACTATAAATAATTTGAAATGATATTCAATCTGCATAAAGAAAGTAGTTATAGATGTTATGCATTATTTTGGGGGGTTCCGAGCAGTCCTACTAAACTAATTTGACTTAATACAGAATATACAGATTAGTACAGTTGGACAACTCAAATATATCTGGTGCATTTATATATGGAGCTGCAGAAGTTGTTTTGACTTTTTTA